CCTCACCCTCCAGCTACCTGACTTCTCCGTATCGGCAGACTACGAGAGAGAGGGAGAGAGATTTGTGACTTCGGGATGTTGACGACATTTGGATAGAGACTCAACCTGGGACAGAGACATTGATGGGAGACTATTTGGGATCGATATCGACGACATTGGTGTTGGCGACATTCTCATCTTCTTCCCCATCTTCGTCTGATCCCCCTCCTTTCATCTGTGTATGAGTGGAGCCTGGCGCATTCTTCCTGTGTGTAGCGCCAGGCCCCTTCACACCTTGCGATGATGACGATGTATGTTTGGTCTGCATTGCCACATTGATGGGTCTGATCATTGGTATTTTAGCCTTCCGCTGCGCTATCCTGTACTATGTGAGAGAGGTCGGTTCTTGTTCTGGTCTGCGCCCTTATGGTATGCAACAGTCACATGCCTCTTTCCCCGCCGCCACTTGAGTGTTTTCCCCGCTGCAACCCTCAATGTCAATGCCACAGGTAAGTACTGGCCCTTCGGGCCTTCCGAACAAACAAGTGCCCTTGTGGGTCACACACACACTCAAGCCAACAAGCACTCAGATAGGCATGCAGACCAGCAAACATGCACCCAGACAGACTTAGAAAACTCAGCAAAAAGCGGGAAACTCGGTAAGGCATACATTCCATGAGCAAAATTGAGAAATCAGCTGTGTGTCTCAGTCCATGAACGGCAGGTCACTACACAAGTGACATAATCATACTCACTCACTTCTTTGACTTTGAGGCAACCTTTCGTGTGATCCGAATGTGTAGCTCTCCCTTGTCCACACCTTTCAGAGGCAACCACTGATCCACTGTCTTATTTGGCTCTAGTCCGTCCAAATCAACCTCACAATGCCCTATCGTGGTCGGCATCAAAATTGTATTGTAGTCCTTGACGTGCAAAATCAAGCTACTCCTCCCGTCCTCGATGAAAGACATACTAAAGTTCCACAAAGGGTTCACAGTCTTGTACACAACCTGCACCAAATTAAAGAGTCCAACATATCAGAAGACTCACAATGAGGACTAATGGTGTGCATTTTGTGGTGTAAGGGATTTGTAATATCATGCATTATTGATACAATTAGCAAACAGAACAGAGTTGAAAACAAAGAGATGGCTTCCATAGAGCAGATAATCACTGACAGAAGGAACAGTTGCACAAATGAGGCAAATAAACATGATGTCAACAATGGGCAGAGCAGCAAAAAAGACACAGAATGCAACTGGTTTCTGCAAAGAGGCTAAAGTCTGTCCACACTGACTATCACTTTGTGCAATTGTTGCTTGATGAGACACTGGCCTCGGCTGGCAGAGGGTGGCACTCCCCACGAGGAGATGCAGTCTCAGTCAATGAATGGCGACCTAAAACTCTGGGGTCTTCCTCAGACCAGCAGGCTGCCATAGAACAGAAACAAAACGGTCTCTGCAAATTGAGAATCGGGTTGGACAGATTCCAGGATGATCCAAACCCCCTGGAAAACTGATAGACTTAGGAGTGGGTTGGATATCACAACTGGTCTGTAGTGGGGTGGTTCCTGGCTGTAGTGGTTAAGACACTTGGCTCTTGAGGCCGAGGTCGCCGGTTTGAATCTATGCTTGCCCGGAGGATTGCCTTGGGCCCATATCTACGGAGCTATAACTACTACTACGGTGGGGAATGCAATAAAAATGAGCGACAAGGAAGGACAGAAAAAAAAATTGCACCATCACATTCAAAGGCAGATAGTCTTGTGTCGAACAGCAAGCAGAACGCACGAAGTTACACACCAAATAAGAGCGAAGCAATCAACTCAATGTCAGCCACCATCTCGCCTCCACCAACAATGTATCCAATGTCACTCTTCTGTATGGCACCTGGCACTCAAACTTCAATCTCACGACACCTATACTAGCCTACAACTACGAGTGAAACGTTTTTCACCTCAGATGCGGGCCCGAGAGTTCGATCCCCAGACCTCACTTTGCCATGTACAGTATTGAGTCGACCCCCGAGTGTTTGAACCCGTGACCTGTGTTTTGGTAGTTGTTTGTTGTCTGCTGTAGGTCTGTGTAATGGTAGGGGTTCGATCTGTAGGTCTGTCGACTACGAGTCACAGCCCTGTAGAGGTCGTAGCTGTAGGTATTCTGGAAGGTCAAGGTCATAGCCGCTACAGTCCTGAAAGGTCAAGGTCGTAGCTGCTACAGTGCTCGAAAGGCCAAGTCCACAGACTTCCGGAAGGTCCGGAAGTGGCCTTTCGAGAGTGTCCCACGTTTAGGCCAAGGCAAGTGGGCAAGTTGTGGAGTCCAACTTCGCTTAGTCAGCGGTACCCAGTCCCAGTCTCACTTTGCACAGTCAGCAAGTACCATGAGGGACTGTGTGCACCACGGGCCCAGTGGAAAAAGGGCAGACCAGCGTCCTACGGAAGTATAAATCAAGAGGCAGCGCCCAGCTACTCATTCATTCGCTGCGTAAGCCATGCGGACACGCTGTCTCAGCGTCTTGTGCGAGGTGGTCTGCAGAGTGCCCGGAGTCGAAGTGGGCTGAAGGAGATAGCCATAGCAATTGTAGCGAGCGGCCATAGCCGCTATAGGTTAGAGATAGCTACAGTCAACAAGTACCATGAGGGACTTCATTGGTTACACTGACTGGTTCACCTTGATGAAGGACATAGTCAGTCTCAAGGCTGTAGACCTCGTCACCACAACAGGCAGCAAAAAGCCCATGGGCGGCTGACGGTTCAAAGGCAGCAACCGTTTTGCTGTGCATGGCCTGCTGGAGGCCGAAGAAGAAGTCGATGCAGATGACCCCACTCTTGGTGACGACCAAGAACAGGACTCTGATACAGCTTGTTCTTCAGCCCATGAGTCTGATGCAAACAAAGAAGAAGGAAAATTTACTGCCTTTAAAAAGACTGCCAATGCAAAGGGACCGAATCAAAGTGCAGGGAAGAACTATGTCCAACTTCCCAAGGGAGCCGAGATCCCACCTAAACCAGACGATGCGACTACGAAACCTTGGGTCGACCTCCGGATTACTGAAAGTGACTGCCAGGGTATACTCAAGAAGGGGATATGCCTGCATTGCCAAAAACCAAACCATAAGGTACAAGATTGTTATAGGCTGCAGGGAAACCAGAACCGGGCATAGAGTTAACTTCAGCAAACTCTACAGCAGGGGAGACTGATTCTGAGGCAGATCAGCGGTCCTCCCTTGAAACCCAAACATCTGTTGAACACAAGGCTAAGATAATTAATGTTAGGTATGTCGAGCCTTGGGAGGAGTCTGGGACGGTCGATTTTCACTATCACTTGGAGCATTGGGCTGAGATCAAACAGCAGCGTGCCCAGTGGACGATGAAGTTGATCTTCTTCAAACTTCTCATAAACCACCGCTATCTCCGTGTTTTGGTTGACTGTGGTGCTACGGCTAACTTTATGTCACCTCACGGGATACGCAAAGTGGGCTTGGGGATGAAGCAAGTGGCCTTGCAGAACCCTTATCAGACTCAAGTTGGCAACAAAGAATTTGTCTCTTCTACGCATGCAGTCAAAGGTGTGCACACTACCTTTGACAAGGACAAAACTGTCACACACGCGTTGAACTTCTATGTTCTTGACAAGTGCCCCTTCGACGCTGTCCTTGGCTTGGGCTGGCTGCAGTCCCAAAAGCGAATGGACCAAGTGGAAGGAGTCACTTTTCATGATCAAAGATGCTAGAGGGAACAAGCTTCCTGTCCTCTTGGATGAGAAGCACGAGTCCCCAATGACTTTTCTGCATGCAATGCAGTTCTGCAAGAAATGGCGCAAGCACAAGGAGGAAGAATAGTTGTAAGTTGCCTTCGTTCGTCCTACCCATGTGCCATCTACTTTTGCGGTTAATACCACTACTACTTCGATTAGTGATCCTACTTTTAGTACTTCTACTTCTAGCACCTCTATTTCTCCACCCTCTAATGGTCCAAATGATCCTACTTCAGATCCAGTCGTCTCTATACGTGACCTGCGACTGGATCTATGCGATCCCTTTGCTGATCCCCCACCCCCACCGGTCCCACCACACATCCAAAACCTCCTCGATCGGTTTCCTGAAGTTCTGGTCGAGCCACGTGGAGTCCCACGCAATCGGTACGACACACCATCGAGTTGGTTGAAGGTATTGTTCCTCCAAAGGGCTGCATGTACCGAATGGGACCCGACGAGTTGGAGGAGCTCCGACGACAGGTTGATGAGATGATTGACAAGGGGTGGATCAAGCCTAGCGAATCTGAATTTGGTGCTCCTGTGTTGTTTGTTCCGAAGAAAGGAGGCAAACTCCGCATGTGTATTCACTATCGCGGTCTAAACCGCATCACAAGAAAAAATGTCTATCCCTTGCCTCTCTAGATGACTTGCTTGATGCCGCAGGTAGGTGCAAGGTCTTCTCCAAGATCGATCTCAAGTCTGGCTACCACCAGATTGAAGTCGATCCTGCGGACCAGCACAAGACTGCGTTCAAAACACGCGATGGGCTTTACGAGTTTACCGTAATGCCCTTCGGCCTCACGAACGCACCGGGCACCTTCCAAAGCCTCATGGACAAAGTCCTCCGCGAACAGATTGGCCAGTTCGTGGTAGTCTACCTCGATGACATTCTAATCTTCAGCAAGTCCATGGAGGAACACCTCAAGCACCTTGAGGAGGTACTGACCATCCTCAAGAAGACGCAACTCCATCTCAACTTAGAGAAATCTGAGTTTGGGAAGGATGGTGTCATCTATCTTGGGCACCGGTTGTCTGCTGCAGGCCTGGAGCCTGAAGCAACCAAGGTGGAGGTCATACGCAACTAGCCTCAGCCCGTGAACATTCGCGAACTGCGTTCTTTTCTTGGTCTCGCGTCATACTATCGGAAGTTCGTGCCCCGCTTCTCCATTGTTGCGCGTCCATTGTCTCGACTAACAAGAATGTTCCCTACTCTTGGGACACCGCGTGAACGACCGCCTTTCAAGCCTTGAAGGACGCCTTGGGCAGATCCCAAACTGACATTCGTAGTTACTACAGATGCAATTCAGTATGGAATCGGTGCAGTGCTGCAACAAGATGACGACAATGGCTTGCGGCCACTAGAGTACTACAGCAAACGCATGCCAGCGTAAAGGTAGCCACTTCCACCTACATGTGCGAGCTCTATGCTTTGCGTATGGCGTTGGATCACTGGAAACACTATCTTTTGGGACGCCACTTCAAAGTCTTCTCAGATCATGAGACTTTGAAGTGGATCAAACAGCAAACTACCTTGTCCCCTACCTTGCTTCGCTGGTTCCATGAGATTGACATCTTCGATTTTGAATTAAGACACGCATTGTCTCGCCACCCTGAGTATATGACTTGCCTTGTGAAATCCTACGACCTCCGGAAAAAATTGAAGGAGGAACTCGTAGAGCAGACAGCCAAGGATACGGAACTTAGTTCCATCCTTGAGCAGCTGCGGGCTGATCCTAGTAGTCAGCCTGATTTTCACGAGTATGGAGGACTGATTTTTCGTCGCTACGGGAACCACGACCGTTTGTGTGTGCCCAACCATAAGCCTCTCCGCACACACTTTTTGGATGTGGCTCATGGCCGGAGCGGACACTTCGGCATGGCAAAAACGTATGCAAATTTGCTAAGACAGTTTGATTGGCCTGGCATGAAAGGGACTGTTGAGAAGTTTGTGGCTGAATGTCAAGTCTGTCAACGAATCAAACCATGCAGACAAAAGCCGATGGGGCTACTCACACCCCTACCCGTTCCCGATGGTCCGGGGAGTCTGTCTCCATCAACTTCAAAAGGTAAGTAAGAACGGCTACTCACAGATCATGGTGATTGTTGACCGATTCTCTAAATTCCTCAATCTGATCCCTTTGCCACCTCATGCCCAACATAACTAGTGATTAGTGAATTCCAACAAAAGTACATTTTGCAATTCGGAACCTCGAAAACTCTTGTGAGCGATCGGGATCCGCGCTTCATTCGTACTGAGTGGAAGGACTTCACGTCTCAACTGCGGATCAAACTGTGTATGACATCTGGCCGACACCCCGAAGCCAACGGTTTGGCTGAGGAGATCAACCAGACTGTGTTTCAACTTCTTCGCGCTTTGATTATCCCGGATCAGGAAACATGGGATGAAGAGTTGTATTCCGTTAAGGGGTTATACAACAACTCCGTCCACTCCGCCATCGGCAGGACACCCAACAGGTTGCATTACGGTTGGCAGATCCGGAATCCGCTCTCTTACCTATTCCTTGAGCAGCCGGCTGGTTTAACACCCGGCAGGCCTGGCTTCAGGGCCAAGTATGATCGCTTGCTCAAAGTTGCCATTGCAGCTATGACCAAGCGACAACACGCCATGATCCATCATGTGAACAAAAAGCGCCGACCGTCGGATATTGAGGTAGGAAGCTATGTCTGGGTCAAGAAGTTTGAATTCTCAGAAGAAGAGGGAGTCTCACACAAACTCCTCCCTCTCTATTATGGGCCTTGGGAAGTTTTGGATGTGATTGGTGAAGATCACTTTGGCCCTTCGTACGTCGTTGATGTGCCAGCCCATCTGCGCACATACCCCGTGTTCCACGCATCCAAACTGTACCTCCACCGTGATGCTAAGACATTCAATTATCGCGAAGATATGATCACTCGCACGATCAAAGGTGGGCACGAGATAGACAGGATCAAACAGCACGTAGGGAAGCGGCGCAACAGACAGTACCAGGTTCACTTCATGTATCACCCATTAGACGATCTGTACTGAATTTTCAAACAGGAACTGCTACGCAGTGCACCGCGTGTTGTCAAAGCATATGAGCGACAAATCGCCACTAGTGTTGTACCTAGGATCTCTGCAAAGCTCACTGCAACAGAGTACTCTAGGAATCTCTTTGCCTTGCTCGCTTACGATGCGTTTGTCGAGGACTCAGAGTGAGTTACTCGCTCGAAGGGACCTCGCTCTTGAGGGGGTAGTAGTGTGATGCCCCGTCCATACATGGACTGAAACACACAGCTGATTTCTGAGTTTTGCCCATAGACTGAATGCCCTGCTGAGTTTCCCGCTTGCTACTAAGTCTGTGTGTGCACACTTGCTGGACTGCATGTCTGTCTGAGTGCAGGATGGCTGGAGTGTGTGTGTGACCATGCCTGTCTGAGTGATGGTTGGCCTGGGTGTGTGTGTGACCGTGCCTGTCTGAGTGCTGGTTGGCATGAGTATGTGTGTGGCCCGTCAGGGCACTTGCTCGTTTGTTGGGCCCTCAGGGCCGGTACTTACCTGTGGCCGTGACATTGAGCGGTTGCAGCGGGGAACGGGTAGGCCGGTACCGCACCTGGAAGGGGTAGATGTGCAGGTACCGGAGGCCGAGCAGAAGAAGACAAAAGTGGCATTTTTAGAGACCCAGTAGTTGTAGGTAGGTCTAGGCGGATATCAGTCCAACCAGTCTGGGTCTAGGGCCTGTAACGGGCAATATCAGAGTCTGCAATGATGTTTCCCTCCGAAAGGGAGGAGGTACCGATTGCTTGGGAGGCCGAACGGCCTGGAAGTCGCCGCCCAAGAGGCAAAGCAGGCCACTATATCTTCTGGCCGGGCGGAGAGTCCGGCCTCTTTTTCGGTGTGCAAGTTTGGCAACACACTGGTGGAGCGCTGGCTGGAGCAGCGCTGCTGGGGAGGAAGGAGAAGGACACGAGGGAGGAAGGAGGAGGAAGAAGGAAGGGGGAGGTGCTCACCTGGCTATGGTGGCAGGAGGAGCACCATGGGTACTTACCTGGCTATGGTGGCAGCCATCTTCATCACCTTGGTGGGCGCTGCAGCAGGGAGTCCCCAGCTGGGGAGAGCTACACCAAGAAGCTTTGGGGCAGGGGCAGGCATGGCGGCCTGAGCTAGAGCAGCCATAGCTGCTTTGGGTTGTCCTTTGGGCATCTCAGCAGAGCCCAGTAGTCCGCCATAGCCTCAGCCTATGAGAGTGAAGAGTGGGAGAGGCGGCCATGGCTATGGTGGACCTTAAGTTATACCTGCAGTAGAAGAGGGACTCGGACATTGATTCTGGATCAGTCATTCAACATTGTATTATTATTTCTTGTATGAATAAGAGAAGGGGGAGATAAGGAGGAGGAGATTGTTGGGCGAAGAAGAAGAGGCTTGCTGGTGTACATCTTCTTCTCTAATCCTCTCTCTCCTCTCCTCTCAAGTTCATTCATTTCTTTCTGCATTTGGATGGCATTGTACTTTCCGGTGGATGTGTATCTCGAAATTGGCCAGGGTCATAACACAGTTATCTTTTGGCCCCGGTATCTCAAGGATTTCTTCATAAATTTCTCATTTTTTCAATGTGATCTTGAATGGGATGCTCGGCCCGGTTCCCAGCACGTGCTGCTCCCCACGAATAGATTGGAGCATGTCCCTTTCAAAAAAAAAAAAAANAAAAAAAAAAAAAGACCTGAGAGGAAAGGTGGAAGTAAGGCAAGCTGACAGTCAATCCTCCATACTGCTGGAGCAAACAATGCTGATCAGGGATCCTTCGGCCAGATGGAAGGAAGCGTGAGTCTGTTGATATTGTCAATTTTTGACTTGCCGGTGGAATAGGAACCGGACTGAGGCCCCCCAGAATGGATATGGAGCCAGGGCATAAGGACCTCCTTTGTTAAAAAAAAAAAAAAAAAAAAAAGTTACCTTCGTTCGCTTTTTGATCTGCCCATAACGAACGCTAACATAAGGATCACTTGTACCGCCCCAATTTGCAGCAACAAGGTTCTTCGCCTCAATGAGCACAAGCTCCAAGACTGCTGACACACCTGTAGGGATACAGATTCACAATCCCACAAATACACAGGTCCACACAAAAGCAGCACCCTCTCGCCCTTCGCCCCCACCCTCCGCACTCACTAGCACACACACATGCACATATCACACACACAGGCAAACATAGGGATAATTTCACACAACAGTCAAATGATATGACACACGAGTTGTGCAGCACAGCTCCAGCTGGGTGACAATATTGTTTTGGAAACTCGCCACCTTCATACTCGAGAGAACAAAGAATGCATGTTGGAAGAAGGGGATTGTGAACACAGAAGCGTTTGAAGTGAAAACAGGAAGGGAACGGAAGCAGGGGAAATGGAGGCTGGTAAAAGAAATGGGTAAATATGGGAGGTAGCAACAAGGATAGAGCATACGTGAAGTGGCAAGTTTGTCAACTGCGATGAGCCCAGTTCTCAATGCTCACCTCTCGAACACTTTGCATGCATGAACGCAGCGCCCATGAAACTCGATAGACAAGATGATCGCAGAGGACAGAACAAGATGATTGAACAGAGAATAATAATTAACTTCATTAATAATCAAAGATTTTAAAGTCCATCTTCTCACCCTCCCGGTCTGGGTTCTTCCTCTCAAATTGCCTCTCCTCTCTCTCACCGACAAGTTTCTCCTCAACCAACGCCCAACACTGCTTCTGCCTCGCCAGTCGTATCCACAATATCTCTCTCACTCCGAGCACTCTATTCTTTAGCGGTGCTTCCGCCAGTTCAAACAAGCCTTGAAACTACAATGCAGCATACCTGAAGCAGCTGAGAAGTCATCGACCATGAAAAAGATCAGCCAATAGACACCAGGTAAACAGCATCTCTCCCCACATTGAAACAGTTTCACCCAGTTGACCTGACATTGCAGTCACAGAGATTCGATCCCTAGACCTGTGCCACAACCCTGTACACTGATCCCGTGTGCTGAGTGAGATTTGATCCCTAGACCTACCCTATACCTGTACATAGACTCTGTGTGCTGAGTAGGACTTGATCCCTAGGTCTGTAGATTAGCAGCTAGGTCTGTTACCGATAGGCTTAGGAAGTCTGTTCTAGAAGTCTCTACGAAGTTTGTCGAGGACTGGACTAGGTCTGTAGATTAGCAGCTAGGTCTGTTACCGATAGGCTTAGGAAGTCTGTTCTAGAAGTCTCTACGAAGTCTGTTGAGGACTGGAATCTGTCTGTAGGTCTGTATAGTCTTGAAGGCCGGAACCGTGAGTCTAGCCCGAGTAGTGAGTCAAGACCCCTCAATAGAAGTTAACCTGTTTGGTCTACGTGTTGAGGCGCAGAATCGTTGCTGATTGTACACTATCACCATGGTGACCGTCAGGTCAGGAACTAGCACCACCCCCTACAGCAAGGAGCAGGAGGAGAAAGCTGCCGCCATTCTGCGAGAGAAGAAGGAAAGGATGGAGAAGAGGGAGTTAATCAAGCAGGCCAAGATGCTGGCGTTGCTGGAGGAGCAAGAGGGGAAGAAGAGGCAGCCGGAGGAGGAAACGAGGAAGTGGACGCAGGAGCAAGAGGAGAAAATGGCGGCCATACAAGCGGAGGTGGAGAGAGAAGAAGAAGAAGTGGTAGAAGAAGAGGAACCATTGGAAAGAAGAATAGGTGAAGCTAGTACGAGTAAGGAGGAGCAGATTGAGAAGTTGACACAAGAGTGAGCCGCACACTTGGAACCGGGGAAAGATAGGGAGGCAGAATTGGCCATACCCCAAGCAGAGAGAGAGGCGGCGAGAAGGGAGTTGGAAGCAGAAAGGGACCCGGTGAGGAGAAAGGCGAAAGAGGAACAGCAAAGGGCATGGAAGTGGTGTATGTCCCAAGAGAAAGTTAGGCGTTTGGAGGCGGCAGAGCGAGCAGAAAGGGACCTGAAAGCGGCGAAGACCAAGATGGGGAAGATCAGGGAAGAGATTGAGATAGTCACTAAACTCGATACCCTGACCCAGAGTGTGGAGTCTCTACTAATTGCACATCGTGAGCGGACGTTCTGGGTTTAAAGATTTTGTGCAGCTTAGAAGTAAAGATAGATCCAATACGTGTTGGGTTTAAAGATTTTGCGCGTGATATGATGAAGTACCTAGTGGATCAGGTCCACCTAGCGATTAGTAAGACAAAAGAAATCTGCACTGGCGCCATTGAAGGCGCCAAGTTAGCGACTCCTAAGGAAGAGGAGCCCGCCCCACCACGCCGTGAGAAAGTCAAGGTCCGTTTCCCCGAACCCTTCAATGGAAAGAAGGGGGAAGATTTCGATAACTGGGAGGCCAACATGCACTCCTATCTCTACTTACAGGGAGTCACACCTGAGGACCACGTTTTGGTGGCCTTCCAGGCTCTTCGAAATGAGGCGACCAGCTTTGCTAGGTCGCTCGCCCGCGCTGCAAATTGCGAGAATGATATGGTCACCTATTCTAGGCTAACGCCCCTCTCTGAATTCCTGAAATCGCTTCGAGAGAGATTTTCTGATGTGACGCGGGGGCTCAAAGCTTCCGCAAAAATCCAAATGATAAGTCTGCTATGGATGAATTGATTGCGATCCCTGGGCATGGAGTAACGAATGCCCAACTTCTTAACCTCTTCTACCGTGCCCTGCCTGAAAATATTCAGGGACACTTCTTTGAGAAGAAGAATCAGCAGGGCATGACTTATGATACTCTTAGTCGGGAGGCAGTAGCATTTGCCGCCCAAGCATCGTCAGTTACCACGTTCTGGCACAAGGACTTGTCAAAGGGAAAAACGTGGAAGGGACGCACCATCTCCGGCCAAATCAAGGCCAAAGATAGTCTAATACTAACAATGGCGGAAGGTGATGCAAACGAGGTTCCCTACTCTGCCATTGAGTGGGGACTAGAGGAGCAAGATAGTAGCTCTGGTCATGGGAGAACCTACGTTGTTGTCGCGGTCGGGGGGAGGCCGCAAGGAGGAGGACAAAGGTCCGGCTAGAACGGTCGGGCCCCGGGTGGCCGAGGACAGGGCGGCCAGGGGGTTGGCGGCAATGGCAACCGTTAAGCGGGAGGAAGGGGAGGTCCCCCGTCCAACCGTTCGCGTTTTAGTCGGTCACCTCCCAGACAAGGATGGTGGCACCCAGGCCGGCCCGAGGGCCGACCCTGGGATGATCTGGGCATAGAGCAAAAAGTATGGCAAGAACGCATCAATAGCTCTCAGTGTGTATTCTGCGGGGACTCGGACCACATTATAAAATTTTGACCGTGCTGCGACTGCGGCAGCAAAAGACAGTCGCTGGTGGGGGTTGCAGTTGCCCCTACTCTAGGAGTATGTGGATTTGAGTGTGCCCGCGAAGTAGAGTCTCCCACTCCACATATCTCCATGGCGGAGGTTGCAGGCCGGGGTCTAGTAGGCTGTCCAGAGACTGCTTGTGTTAGGGTCTCTCTAGACGCTTCCCTCACAGGCTTAGTGGAGGAGTTGAGAGAGAGGAGGCAAGCTTGGGCCAAGATGAAGAAGGATAGTAAAGGACATCTGATCCTCGCAGACATAGAGATATTTAAAACTAGAGTAGGGGCCCTGATAGACAGTGGGGCGACTAGGAGTTATATCAGTCGTAAAACGCTGAAGAAGTTAAAGCTAAATCTACAAGTCCAACGCTTAGAAGAACCCGTAGTCATCATCCTTGCAGACAACAGTAGGATGCGCGATGAAGAGTATGTCCAGGGGGTCCATGCCTACTTCCGCCTCGAGAAAGATGGGAAGGTAGAGAAAGTACTCCTTGACCCTCCTCGTAGAAGAGAGTCTCCCGTTTGATATTGTATTAGGCACAGATTGCGGAGAGGCGGCGGGAGCCACACTTCACCTTAGAGAGCACGAGTGCAAGCTCCCTAGGGCGTCAGGCGAAGTCAAGCAACTCCGACTGTTTCATGAGTCTGGGGTAGATAATCCCCTCGCCCATTGCTGCCTCAGCACTCCTGCATTCGCCAAACTTGTGCGAAAGGAGAAGCTCGAACAACAGGTGTTTGTGGCCTATGTTAGGCCGATTTTTTATCAGCCAAAGGAAGAGGAAAAGATCCATCCTTCTTTCGCCAGTTTGTTGGAAGAGTATAAGGACTTGTTTGAAGCACCTTCAGGAGTAGTGCCCAAACCAATCCAGCACCATATAGAGATAGAACCTGGCAGTAGAACGCCAAGGGGGCAGTCTACCGAATGTCTCCCAAGAAGTTAGAGGAGCAGCTCGAAGAGCAAGTGTTCGTAGCCTATGTTAGGTCGATTTTTTATCAGCCAAAGGAAGAGGAAAAAATCCATCGCCAGTTTGCTGGAAGAGTATAAGGACTTGTCTGAAGCACCTTCAAGAGTAGTGCCCAGACCAATCCAACACGGTATAGAGATAGAACCTGGCAGTAGAATGCCTAAGGGGGCAGTCTACAGGATGTCTCCCAAGGAGTTAGAGGAGCTTCACAGACACTTAAATGAGCTCCTAGAAAAAGGATGGATCAGGCTTAGTTCGTCACCGTTTGGCGCACCTGTTCTGTTTGTCCCAAAGAAGGAGGGAGAGCTTCACATGTGTATAGACTACAGGGGACTAAATGCCATCACAATTAAGAATGCGGAGCCATTGCCACGAATAGATGACTTGTTAGATCGCGTGCAGGGATGCAGGTACTTCTCAAAGATAGACCTGAAATCGGGGTACCATCAGGTAGAGGTACATCCTGACGATCAGTATAAGACGGCGTTAAGGACAAGGTATGGGCATTACGAGTTCATAGTGATGTTGTTTGAACTTACTAATGCACCAGCTACATTTCAGCGTTGCATGAACGACTTGTTTAGACCATGGTTAGATAGGTTCGTCGTCGTAGTGTACCTAGACGACATCCTAGTGTTCAGAAAGACCCTCGAGGAACATGAGGGGCATCTGCGGCAGATTCTAAGCAAGTTGAGAGAGTCTAACTTCAAGATTAACCCGAAGAAGTGTGAATGGGCCAAGACACAAGTCCTTTACCTAGGCCATGTACTAGACGGCAATGGCATTCGGCCTGAGG